ATATATATATATATATATATATATATATAATGTATCCAATCCCTTACTTTCCCTTTTGTCAGATGAAACTGATTTAGGAGATAGCAGTAGTCCTAAACCTTGGGGTTGTGCTACATTGGGTTAAATTATAAAGGTTGAAAATGCGTGAATTTTTATATTACAATGGACAGGCATAGGATTGTACCCTTTTAATTGATTTCAAATTATATGGGGAATAAATCAAAACCCACTCAGCCAAATCACATATGTTGCTTCAGTTAGGGTATATCTATGTACAACAGCAAGCAGTTGAAAATAAGTGTCAGCGTCAGTAACTATTTTGCACTCCAGGTGACATTGTCCAAAAAAGGCAGTTTTATGATCAGGATAGAAGAAATTAAAGTCTTACCAGAATAGAACACACAGCTCCTATTATAAAACAAGCTATGAAACCTTTCAGTCTGGTACTCCAGCTTAAGGAAGATGCATCAGCTATCTGGAAACATTAAAAGGTAAAGTAAGGATGCTGTCAAATCAACTCAGTTCCTGGTGACTGAATCCATGAAGCTTTCTGGGCAGTGTTCTGCAGAGTTTTGCCACTGTCTTCTTCCAGGATGGTTTTTCAATTTCCCAGTTTAGCCAACAGTGCCCAGTCCTCCTACCCAATATAAGTATTAACAAGGAGAATCCCACTTGGCTTGAAGGACAGCCAAGGTCAGCTGAGTGCTGCCATATGCTAAGACAGAATTGTTAAAAAGACCCTTCTAAAAATAGTTGTGTCATGATTTTAACAGGCATACATCAGTGTCAAGCAACACAGTACCTATTGCTTTCTATTTTTTTTCTAGCAGCTTAACAATAGCAGGAAGTATCCAATAACTTATTTAAAATATTTTTAAAAACAAAATGGTTCCTTCGTGTTAAAGGAGTGGATGGTAGCACCAGAATGAGTTTTTCTAGTAGTGGCTTTCTCAGTTCCAAAATACCCTCCACTGTTGCCTGGATTTTCTTTCCAGCTTTCTCATGTGCTCTTAGTTTAACATTTATACTGTACCAAAGGTCATTAAATTACTTCTTTCTGCTATTTTACTGCTTATATGTTATGCATGACAGCTGCTGGTTTTAGTTTTATTTAGCTTACATTTAAAATTTTGTTTTTATAATGCTGGAAGCTGCCTGCTAAATAATTTTTTGGAGTTTCTACTTTTTAATTGAAAAAAATAAAACAAGTAACTTATCTTTCACAAAGAGTTGTAGAGAAAACAGGAGGTGGCAGCATTATGTACACCACCTTGAGTTGTACACATAAAGGTGCGGTATAAATCTAATGATAATAAATATATGGTACTTTAAAATAGTCCAAACTAAGTTGGTGGTTGTTTTTTAAATATTAATCATTTCTAATTCTTGGCATGAAGAGATCTGTGGCCCTTCATATAAGACTGCCCAAAGCCTTCCACTACTGTATGCTTCCAAAGCTGATGGTTGACTCAAATCTAGGTTTTCCCAGATGCCAGCCAAACTGGTTAATCACTACTCCACACTGTCCCTATATTTCTGGACAATTCCACTGAGTGATTAATCAAACCACACGTTTAGCCATAACCTTTATAAAAGCGCAGCGATACGCTTTTGTTGTTTGTTTGTTCTTCATCTCCTTATGTTTTGCAAATACTGCTCAGAATGCCTTTGCTTGTTATACTGTTACAAGCTGTCCTTATTTTCTCCTCAAGATCCTATCCTGTTTTCTGTGCTTAAGATACTTCCTTAGTATATCAGAGACATATTTTAAAATTCGTAAAATGTCATGAAAATAATGTTGAAATTCTGACTTAAGATACTTTCATCTTTGACAATGTTCCTTTAAAACTCTTAATTCTCCAGCCATGACAATTATCAAAGTGGGATTGGGTACTTTTTCAGTGCCTATTAAACTATAGAGACATCCATTTTACTAAAATAAAGTTCCAAAGGAGAAATGGCAAACTTTCTAAGGCTAAGGGACAATAATTTCTGTCTTCCTTTAAAAAAAAATATGCCTATAATATCAAAGGTGAAAATTTTGGAAGTGTAAAAAAGAAATAACAATTAAAGTAAATACTCAAGCACTATGTTTATATGACTCACCCATGCTTACCATAACCATGATTCATTCACATAACCCAATTTTCTGGATTCACACAATATAGTACCATAAACTAACTGTAGAACTGAGTTTGCTCAACTTGCTGGGCTAAAATGTGACTATTAGTGGCTCAAATACATCCTGCTAATACAGCCATGACGTGTAGGAGGGAGCACGGTGCATATATTCAAGATTAGAATTATCACACTACAGGTTAAAAGCACAAGAGCTTTGCCGTATAAATAGAATGAGACTGGTAAACAGTGTTGTTGTTGTTGTTTTTTTTTAACAAAAAACAACCCAGCAGTGCGTTTTAGATTACAACTTTCACCACTCTCAGCCAAAACTATATAGCCGCTGGGATGACGGAAGTTCTATGTATGGCCAGCCAGGTTGGAAAAGCCGACTTAAATGGGCCGTATCGGGAAGTAATGAACAGACTCCAAAACATCCCTGGGACAAGAAAAGGAAGACGGGGGTAGACAGAAAGCGCTCGCTTGGGAGCCTACACGGAGCACTGGCGGCGGACAGAAGCAGCAACACATGATGAAACAGACAAAGGAGAAAGTCCAAAAGAAAACACAACCCAAACGGGGGAAGAAGACGCTTTATTAGCGTCTTCTAATTAGCGTCGCCTTCCTTCAGCTTACCTTGTTGAAATAAAGAGAAGCTTACCTCCGCCAGAGGTCCCGGATCCTCCGCGTCCTGCCCACTGAGAACCCGCTTTAATTTATCCATTTGGCCCAGGCGCTCCTGAGTTTCCCAGCTCCGATGTCGTTTCTACCCACACCAATCAACCTCCTTTAGCTTCCCAAGACTACAACTCCCAGCAGACAGGACACTCAGACACTCATTAAGATTTCTTCTTCCGCCCTATGCTTTTCAGAACCGCCCATCCTGTCCCGGCGATGCAATGCAGGTTGGGAAATGTAGTTGGGGTGCTTCCCACTTCTACCCGTAGAAGAAATTCTAGTGCTGATGACAATGCTCCTTTCTTCGCAGGTTTAGCTCAGTGTTTCTCAACCTCAGCAACTTTAAGATGGGTGGACTTCAACTACCAGCATGCTGGCTGGGGAATTCTGGAAGCTGGAGTCCACACATTTTAAAGTTGCTGAGAAACGCTGGTTTAGCTGATGCTGTGTTGCTCATAGCTAGGAAATGGGAAAACTGTGTGTGTTCTGGACTATAACTGACTACATTTGTTTTGACTGCTTTAGTTGGACAAAGCTTAACATAAACTGAATAAGTTTGAAATGCTTTACATGAATTAAAGGTTAATTGCAGAATATATGGAAGTAAAGCATGCATGAGAATAAATTGAATGGTTTATTCAATTGGGAGGGAATAAGACAAATATGTGTGACATCCCCCTGGGAAGCTTGTGGTGATGTTAAAGGTATGTAGGTTGGGGGTGGGAATGTACAGTGCAGACAGCCAAGAACCTAAATATTTGCAGTGAATGTTAGATTGCATGATGCAACAAAGAACATGGATCTGAAAATTAATGAATCAAAGACCAAGATAGTAGCATTTGACATAGAAAATGGAGTGAATGCTCGTAAGTTATATATATATTTTAAAAACCTTGAGCAACTAGATTAATTTGTAGTAGTTTAGTAGAATATGTACTAAAGATGAGAAGAGGTATGAAGAAATTTTAAGACATGCAACTAGCAATAGAAAGGTAGTGGGTACAATGTGATCTGTTATGAGAAATGTTTGTCAAAGGAAACTAACATGAATATGTATAAGAACAAGCTCCTGCCCATTTTGTTGATGGAAGTATGAGTTGTGAAACATAAAAGTAAGTTGAATGCATGAGAATGAAATACCTAAGGGGTGTGCCTGGTAAAATAAGAACAGAAAGGGTAAAGTATGAATGGGTTTCAATAAATGAGATTTAATATAAAAGTGAATGACCAGTATAAAAAAACTTATATTGAAGTGGTATAGAAAGAATGAATGAGGATCAAATTGTAAAAAGAAAAATTGAGAAAGTTGTGGCTGGATGCTGAGTTGTTTAAAAAGAGAGGGATGTGAAATTTAAAGAACAAGGATGGGAAAGCATACAAACCATAATTTTTGGAATTATTTCCAAACCCTTTACCAGCAATGGCTATTGAAGCATCTATATTTTATTCTGTGCAAATAAGTAATATGTTGCATCTGTTTCTGTTTATGCTGGAAAGCACAGGGTGGGCTGAATATATTCCTGGCCATGTGATCAGGAGGGGGAGCTTACAATGATGTTCTAAGATGCTACCCAACTTCTTCTCCTGTGGAATTGAGAAATACATTCAAATTCAAGCTTTCTTTTGCCAGCTTCTCCTCATGCACCAAATTTGTTCCCATTCTGTTCTGGGAGAGTTACGCTGTTGACAAAGTTCCAGCGCCCTTTACTGTATATCATCTTTTCAACAATCCATTGGGTTGGAAAGAATAAGCAATGTATGAAGTGATGTACAGTCATGGTGGAAGCAATGAGCGTAAAATAAGCAATTTGTAAAGATAGAAATGTACGAAGAGATATATTTATGAATTTATAAACCCCTTCAGTCAAGATGACTGTGCAGTGTACAAAACCGTCAGAGTCACTGGTATTGGCATAAAGTACTGTAATGTTAACTTTTTTTTTCTTATTGCATTGTGGAAGGATGAACTGCTATGAGACAAAAGATCAAGTTGAAGAAAAAAGTGTTTTTAATTTTAAAAAGTCCTTTCTTATTGTAATATCTAAAATGAAAGTGAGATGCTAAATGTGATTTTTTTTTATTTTGTGACAGAACACAAACCATTACATGTTTCTGACTAAACAATACAAAAGGCCTTTTTCATGCTGACAAGAGTACAACCTTAGTAATTCTGCACAAGTGCTATTGAAATGAAGAGGTGCACAATGTATCTTCTATTAATTTCAAGGTTGGAAACATTGATGGTATACTGTACCTTTTTAAGGTCATAACTTGCTTAATTTCACAAGGAAATGCTTGCAAGAACAAATCCCACATAGGAGATTTTGCTACTGTTAAATGTCAAGTACAACATGCATGATATAGGAATAAGGATCCAGTTTTTTCTCCCTCTCTGGTCTGATTCTGGCATAGTTATATGCAACTATTTGTTGTAGGACAGAAGAAATAGGATAAATTTAGCTGCTTCACATATGTATTGAAACAATCTTTAAAAATAAAAAATGACTAATTTTATATTTGTAGGTGTTGTTTGCCCTTGCTTTGGGAATCTTTTTCACTGAATGACTGCTGCTGCTTCTACTTCATCCCAATTACTTCTGTAGTCTAATCATCAATTCTGTTCTATTTTGCTACATGACTAGCAATCATGACTAGATACACAGTATAAACAGCTGAAGTTCTCTCAAGACAGACATATCTCCCTTAATAATTTCTGGAATGAACACGTGTATTAGAAAAACATACTCATTTTTCAAAGAGCCATTGTTCAAAGCAAGCCAAATTCCTGCCTGGCTGAATAATTTCCTATGCATGTATGTTAAGTAATGAACTTCCAATGTTGCTTCAGGATGGCTTAACATGGTTTAAAACCTAGCAGCTAACCTATACATCTTTACTCTTAATACATTCTACAATGCCCAATGCAATTGGTTGCTGATTCAATGGACACTGGATTACACTGCCTTATCTTAGTACTTCTGAAGGTGTTAGCTATTTGGCTTTTTCAATTAAGAAATAAAACAAAGAATAATAAAAAAGGACAAAACAAGCAACCTTGTTACTGATTCTCAAACTCTTCTCTCTTGAGGCAATAGATAAGAAAAGCTGTATCAGCAGAAATGTATATATTTATACTAGAAGAATATTTTAAGAGTCTGTTGCCATAATATATAAAAACAAACCTAAGATTTATTATTCTCTCACTACCAAAACCTCAAATATTTTTTTTGTCTGCTTCCAAATGGCAGGGTGGAGAGATACACCAAAATGTAAGGACTGAAAATGAGTTTTGGAAATAACTGATAGAACAACTTCTCCACAACAGTTCAGTTTATCTTCTATAAGAAATATATGAATGGTGCAGTTTGGTAACTATTTTATGACTATATGTGCAATTATTTTTATCAAAAATACTAATAACTTAAAGTATGCATGTCTGTCATACTTGCAGTAGCCCACTACTAATACTTTATATTCTGTTACAAATATTGTAAGAATTTAGTTTTGTTAACAATCTAATCAATATAAACCTGCAGTGTTTTTAAAAGAAGATAACTTCTTCAGGTTGACAAGAAGGAGCACTAACAATTTCAATTTGTGATACCATATTAACATCTTATCTGATTTATGACAAAAATGATAGGAATCAGAGAAAAGTGGATCCTACTGTTATCTGTACTTGGTCAAACTTATTATGCAACTTGTTTAACTGCTTTTTTAAATTAGTGAAAGATTTAGCTTTGTTTAGAATTTAACAAAGCTCACATCTGATAAGACAGGCAGCAAGCAAGTGATGAGTATTAAGAATACCATTCAATGTACATTAAACTTCGTGAACTGATCAAGTATCAATGATCCCTCAACAAGGTAATCAAATTTAACTTAGAGAAGAAACATAATTAATGTACTCTGTTACACATCATATGAAACACAAGTCCTTCTATAACAAAAGACTATGTTAAAACAACGTCCTTAAAAGTTGCTGCGCTTATGAAGGGCTCTTATTTTTTTCCAACATCTGTCCAGACTTTCTTGAAATGTTGCATACTTCAAAATAATTGATCCTGATTTGGGGACTTACACTCCAATATCAGTAACTGCAGTTTCCCATTAGGTCAGAGCAAACTAGAGACACAATGAAAATACAGGAAAAACTTCCAAGTTAGCTTCACCCACCCCAGGCTACAGAAATTTTAGCCAGGCATCCAGACAGATTTATATCCAGCATCTTCAGTGGTAATGGCCAAGAAGATAAGAACAGGGTCTATATCGAGTCCACCAGATTATGCAAATCTCATTAAGTGCCTTGCGGTGCAGCTGCAGAGTCATGGTTTGAGTTCTCAGGAAATTCCAGCTTCTCACAAATATTTTCTTTGACAGGTAAATACTGAGCAATTTCATTAGGATCCGTGAACAGTGTTGGGGGAACATGCTTAAAATAAGAGAGAGAGAATTATTTAGAGAACAAAAGAGAGTGAAAGTATATCTAGATATAAATGTAAGGTAGCATTACATTTATTAAAATGTTTTGCAAATAATATTTCTTTTAACTTTATACAGTGGTACCTCGGGTCACGAACACTTCTGTTCACGAACAATTCGGTTCACGAACAGCACCGTTCGCAAAATTTTGCTTCCATTCACGAACTCCACATCGGGTGACCAACAGGATCCACAGCCATTTTCCCTGCTGTGACACGTGGTCATGGCTTCCTGTAGGGAGGGGGACTCTCCCTCCAAACAATAACCACCTCCCCACCTGCCTTCCT